TTTAATAATGCAATTTAAAAAACAAATTGGTTAATGAGTTAAGCACTTTGTGAACAAATAATACAAAAAAAATCTTTGATTTCTTGTAGATTGATCTAGTTAAAACGGATGGACTAAAGGATTATAAGGATGAAGGATGAATGCATATGGATAACAACTTGGAAGGAGTCGAAATTTATTTATATTGAGACATTGTAATTTTCATTTGTGATTAATTGTATTCATATATGATTGTAAATGTGTTTTGTTTATATATTTTTTGCAAAGTTAATGTTTTATCTCTAATTTGTGTTCTATTCAATTAAGATTACAAATGTATTGATTTTTTTATTTTTATGATGTTCTTTATTCAAGTACAATTATATTTGTATTTATTAAAAAAAATATATTATTTTATATTTATGAATGAAGATGTGCATTTAAATATGAATACATGGTTTCAAAGTGATTTTAATCATTAAGTAGAATTGTGTCGATATAAATATACAAAGTCAAATTATAATATAATCATTTATGATTGATAGTTTAGTTTTTTATCCATTTACGATTGATGTATAATTTACTTGAAATCAGGGGAAAAAAATGATTTGTTAGAATTTTTTTTCAGTTTTAAAATAAATTTTGGAAAAATATTTTTTATATTCCATTAATAAGTAAAATAAAAAATAGAATATTTTTTTTGGTAAATGATCTTAAATTTAAGGGAATTTGATTAAATTTTATTTTATTTTAATTTAATTAAAATATACAATTACTAATATACCCTTATATATTCATTGGTCCAGAACTGTTCTCGCGTTCTCAGTTCTCATTTGATCCTTACCCTATATTTAATTAAAATATATATAGAGGCTCGTTTAAGCTCGTTTAGGCTCGCGAGCCCATTAATTGAAGCTCGGCTCGAGCTCGTTTAATAAACGAGCCTCATATTTAGGCTCGAGCTCGGCTCAGGCTCGTTTAATTCGATCTCGAGTCGAGTTTTTAACGAGTCGATCCCGAATAGCTCGGCTCACTTACACCCCTATTTGAGATATTTCAAATAACCCTAGGCCCTAACAAGCATCTCATCAATATTATGGAAACAGGTAAGAAAATTAAATAAAGCAACCAACCAAGAGCAAGAGATAAGAAACCATCTCAAAATTCAACCACACATAAATATTAAATAGTCAAAAGAAACTCCTAACAACTCACTCAAGTCAAACAACCAAAAACCGAATAATAAATCCAAACATAATCTCTAAAGTCTCAAAACCTCAGACATCGATTAGTTTAAGAAACAATGCCGTCATTCAAGGACAAAGCAGCAAGCTGATCAGCAGGGCTTCCAACTCCACCCTGACCATGACCACCCACATTCCTCAACACATCCATAGCCTCAGCCACCTTTGCCTTCAAAGCTTCCGGAGACTCCAACAAATGAAGCACCTCTGTCTGATCCATCTCCAGCAGCATCCCTGTCACCTTAGCAGCCGACTCTCCCTCCACCTGTTCCACCAACGGGTACAAACTCTCCCCCAACAT